TCTTCGAGTGACTTGGGTTGGAGGAGTATGCCTCCCTTTCATAGACGTCAGGAGCGTTCAGGGAATACTCGGGCTTGAGGTTTGTAGTGGCGGATGAAGTTAGCCGTGTCCCGCGGCGAGAAGTCGAGTGGTAGTCCGTCGATGTTTAACGGCGGCGTAGGGGTAAGAGACAGACTGCATACTTGCATGTATCAGGGTCGACAGCTAGCGAGAGAATGATCGTGATCATCGTGCCAATCATTTAGTGAATTATTTAGAGTTACAGTTCTTTCAGTGATTAATAAGTTAGTGAAATATTCAAATCAGAGTTATTTACCAAATATTCTCAATTACTGGATCGATTATCTGTGAAATTGTACAAGTAAGTTTATTTGTACGTTAGTCGAAACACCATTAACGGGTAGATTTCTGTTGAAAGTGAAAAACATTAGATGTGAACTTGGGCCTATGAGAACAACTGCATGAAGTAATAATAGCTTGTAAAAATATTAAGGAAGAAATAAACTGATTTTTTATCGTTACATGGACTTTACTTCTTATTATTTTCGTCAAATATATAAAACAAAACTCTTCAAATAAAATATTACGTTTCCACACTATTGACTAAAGGATTTGATGACTTATTAAACCATTTGAAATTTAAATTGGCAAAAATCCCGCCTTTTCGAATCGCTTGAGAATTGTTTACAGCTATTTTTTTGAAGACGAAAGGTGGAAGACTTTTGAAACGTCGTTCTCTATGTTTGTATTTCTACAACAGGCAATTGCTGTCCATTCAACTAAAATTTCATCTAAGATACCATGATTAAATAGTGGTAGATATTCAATTCAAACCTCTTTAACAAAAGACAAAATAAACGTTCACTAGATAAGCAACAATAACTTTTTTTCTTACTCGATGAACTACAGATAGAGTAAACAGATTACTTCATGTATGCACAATGCGACAGACCAAAATTAACACTTAGAAAGGCCACGTGAGGCTTAGAGGCTAGTAAGCAGAACTGTGACTATGAGGATCCATGATTTGCACAAGAACAAATAAAAATAATCGCACTTCGCAATTTGGGACGATTAAATTTCACTATTCAATTACAGTTTGTGGTGGGTACTGATGACTAACTGCTTTCTCTCTAATCAGTCTGTTCAAAACTAGGGATGGCTAGCAAAGATAGCACTGGCATAGTTTTTTCGCTAATATCTGAAACAA